ACAATATATAACGAGCTCGAGGACAACACTCAAATGAAAGGGGTCATACGTACCTCCCTCACCCTTTGTTCGAGCGTATATGTAATGACAAGCCTTTTCGGGTTCCTTTTATTCGGAGACGCCACTTTGGACGATGTGCTGGCCAACTTCTCAACCGACCTCGGAATTCCGTTTGGGTCACTGCTAAATGATGCTGTTCGAGTCAGCTACGCGGCCCACCTAATGCTCGTTTTTCCAATCGTGTTCTATCCTCTTAGATTAAACCTGGACGGACTTCTTTTTTCTTCAGCAAAACCTTTGGCTTCAGACAACCTAAGATTCGTGTCCCTTAGCGTTGGGCTTATCAGTTTGCTTTTTCTTGGTGCAAATTTCATACCGAGCATTTGGGATGCTTTTCAGTTTACAGGAGCAACTGCAGCTGTTTGCATCGGTTTTATATTTCCTGCTGCCATTACTCTGAGGTGAGTCTGTGAATTAATTTTCTTTTGCAGAGAGTATGATTTTTTTTTTTGAGTTTGGTTTTTTTAAACATATGATGGGAATTTCTTAGTGACAGAAGTTTGAGCTCTATTGCATCAGAAAAAGGCTCGGTTTTGTGTATTCTACTCCCAAATCAATCACTCTTGTGTCTTTTTCCTTTAAAAGAATCTGAAAAGCGTGATTAGAAAAGATTAACAGGTTTAGTTTTGATTCGACAGCTTTAACAAGTTTGAAAAAGGAAAAGAAAAAACAAAAATGCTTACAATGACTTCCCTTTTTTATTTTTGCTTTTTGTTCCTCCCTGTGATGGTTGAATTATAATTTAAGAACATTTGTGGATAATCAGAAAACCGCATGTCTTCACTTGGAATACCTTTGTAAACTTTGAAAATACTGCATTTTTTCATAACCCAAATGAAAGAACTCTTTGTGCTTTGCAGTAAAAACTTTGCAATCTTCCTCCATTTATCTATTTATGAAGCAAACCAGTTACTTTTAAAAAAAGAGATAATTAAATGTTGGGTCCATTTAGTACTTCATAGTTTCATCATCTTATTTATAATCATCCATCAAATAAATTTTCTCTCGTTCGTGCAGGGATCGTTATGGCATAGCCACAAATCGGGACAAATTCTTAGCCATTTTCATGATAATTCTTGCTGTCTTTTCCAACCTGGTCGCTATATATAGCGATGCCTATGCATTGTTCAAGAAAGGCCCAACTCACCGTGAGTGAGTTATTATTTCTTCCATTGATGTATATTTAAGCCGGTGATTAAGGGCTTGTCTCGTTTTTATGAACTGCAAATGTAATTCGAGACGGGCTTGTATCGATTCGTGTTGTATTGGGATGGAAAGATTTATACTACTCAATGTGTATGTTGAGTAGCTTCTTTCTTGAAATGTAAAGAACTGCTTGTGCAAATCAAACACTATCCTATAATTATTGTTTGTATTTTTCATTGCCCTGTGGTACTTATTAGTTATTAGTATTAGGTGATATTATTATCGACATCGAACTGATTTTTCAGTTATTTAAAAATGCTAAAGCAAGAAAAGAATATTTGATCAACCGAAAAAAGATCCACAATATAAATCCATTTTCACAAATTCAAGTAATAAACTAAAAATATTCCTCCTTTATTTCTTCCTTTCTATTCTTTCTTTNTATTTTCTTCATGCTTCTGAAATAAGCTGTTGTATATTTTTGGGAATGCAAACAGAGGATCCATTAAAACAATATGTGGCTATTGTCCTGTACATAGTCTCAGTAAGATGATATCCATCCCAAAAATAGTGCTTTTCCGGGTCCCGGCAAGCCAATGCCCCGAGCTCCGGTATACAGCCCGACGTCCCGTTTAGCCACGTCACACAACACGCCGTGCTCGAATCATTTAGCCCTGAAAAAAACAACAAAGAAAAAAAGAAAGAAAGTGTTTCAATTTTTAGAAAGATTTGATTTCAATCATTTGGCTAGAAAAAAAAAATCAAATATGAGTACACATCTTAACAACAATTCAGTCTCAAGATTTTAACATTTCGTATTCTGCTCACGTGATTTAATATTTGATTGCAATTTCAGTCATTTGAGAACATAAATTGCAACAAATTCTAAATTTATAGATTTTTTATTAGCAATTTCAGTCATGTAATTTAAAATTTCGTTGCAATTTTGTTTCAATTTCAATTAATTTAATATTTTGCAACAATTTCAATCCTTGAAAGGCGAAAAGTTAGAATATTGGGACTAAAACTGCTATGGCGTTAAACAAATGTCAACAAATGCATTTATGCCGAAAATGTTCAAATCACATGAAAAATAAACATGTTGATTTGAACTTTGAAATGAAAGGTAGGGATTATAATTTATATGTTACCATAATTAGACGGATTGATAGCGGCATCATAGCCGAGCCAGTGACCATGACCGAGAACGAAAGTTGAGCCTTGGAGAGTTGACGTTAGGTTTTGGAGCATAGGGGCAAGATTGTCATTAAACATTATTGCGAGCTGGTTAACCTCTTCAACACATGTCCCGTTGTGCTTCATCTGCCTCGTCGTGGAGGGAATGCACCCGATTGGCCCGATTTCGAACATTATAACCTTTCGAGCTCCTAAACGGTACAATTTCTACGCACAACACCAAAAAAAAAGAAAAAAAAAACTGTTACTTCATATCGAGAAAAGTAAAAGACAAATCAAGTATCGAAGTAATTATATATATACCCGAAAGTGTAGGGAAAGTTTGTCGACGAGAAGTCGAGCGTAGGCTTGTGGAGTGTATCGTTTGCTCGTGTCGTAATCTCGCGTGACGAGATAATTGTTGATGTAGTCATTGCTGCCTATGGAGACCACAAATATCGACTTCGCCAGATAGTTTGAGAGCTCGGTAGAGTTCGTAAAATGCTTCGGCAACTCCTCTTTCACTATCCTCTCAAATAGCCCAACTTGTTCACCAAAATTCAGGCATTTTCCCTAGACATAGTGTTTTTCAGACCATAAAAATTTCAGTTTTATGCACAAGGTCTCACAAATTCTTATATGAGGCAGCCTAACTGTTAGACGGGTCGATCAATAAATGACGTACCAAATCGCTTCCAGTCTCGGGAAGAATGCCACACGATCCCGATGCGAAATTCAGGCCGGTTAGTGTTAGCTGGCCTGGATTGAACACCCTCCTTATGCTTAAATAAGGTGGAGAATATGGCAACCCAAGAAACTCAGCTGCCAAAATATATAAATACAAAAAAAAAAAGGTAACTAACACATAATTTTATTGAAACACAAAATCTATGAAACTTTATATATATAAAACCCATCATTTCTTTTGAATAAGGAGCCCAAAAGCAAAGTGGAAATGCGAAAATAAACACAAATGTTGTTAAGTTGTCTAACCGTTAAACAACCATATTTCTCATAAAAAAATGCGTACTTGAGTATTGAACTATGGAATGCAATACGTTTGATTATGTTGTACTCTAAAAGTATGACATCAGAGCGTAAAAGTATGTAAATTTATGACTGTCTAACCATTAGGCAGCCTAATAGAAGACGTACCAAAGAAAGAAAGGGATCAAGAACATTGTATGAACTAGAAAGTATGACATCTGAACGTGAAATTATGTAAATTTGCTGTATAATACAAGTATGACTGTCTAACCATTAGGTAGCCTAACAAAAGACCTACCGAAGAAAAGAAAGAGATAATCAAGAACATTGTGAACTAGAAAAAGTGGCAAATTAATTAAACCTATGAAATCGACGACCGTTCTTCCGTTGGTAAATCTTCCCGTTGGCCAGCCTCCGTTGAAGTTCATGCCGTAAGGAGAAAAATCGGCCTTTGCTAGCGTCGGCAAGAGATTATTGTTCCCACTATCGAACAACGAGTCGCCCAACACATAAAGTGCAGGCACAACTTGCGAATAGTTGCTAATTTCTGATTTTGCTAAAGGAATTTGCAGCATGGCTGCAATAAGGATTGAAATTATAAGCAGCATTTTGTTCATTTTAATGTTTCTTAGGAAAACAGAACAAAGAGCAAAAAAGGGGGAAAAAGGAGTAAATTTGGAAATAGAAAGTGCAATTTTGTGTTGCTTTTAAGCTACTTTACATGTGAAAAGGCACATTACATATGTACATTGTACATTGTACATTGTGTGTCTGCTATGGAGTTTGAGGATAGACATAAAAATGTAACAGAAATTCCAGGAATTGAGAAGAGAAGAGTACAATAAAAAGGCCTTTTTTCTAATTTTGGTGACGATGGATATAATATGGGCACGTTGAACATGTTGTGCTGACCTTTTGTAATGAATAAGATTCCTTTTCTTTTTTTTTTTTGCTTAAATATATTTGCGTGATTACGCAAACTAGCAATCGGATTGACTCCAATAAAAAATTAAATATATTGAAATGGAAATTTTGAAAAGGAAAAATTCCTTCTTACCACTTATATTTTTTTATTGTTTGATTAATGCACATATGTAAAAGATGTGTATTCATATAAACTTGGTGGTGACTGGAGCGCAGTCATTGATATGATTAAACGAGACACATACTTTCAAAAAAACTATATATTTTGAAAATAAGAAAAATAAATAATATTTGATAATATAAATATGTACTTTTATTAAAATAATATGACGGAAATTGTGGAATAATCACTAGTTCTAGAGTTTAATAAAATAATACATGCTCGACATGTAGAAAATTGCTATAATGCAAATGTTAAAGTGTAATAAATTGCTTTTTTTTTTTCAAACTAACAAATTCTATTAAAAAAACTCAAATAATACAACCGTTAAATATAATTAAACTCAAATTTAAATAAATACAACCGTTTATCATCTCAACTAAAAAAAAAATCAATCAAAACTCAAATTTAACTTCACTTTAACCAAACTCTACTATCTCTAATATTATCAATATAATTAAATAATATCAACCAATCATTCAACCAATCATTCTTACACATCACATCAACTTTAATTCATTATTCATTCACTCACATAATTTTACCTAACCATCCATTCCAATCATTTTTCTCCTACTTTTACATCATATCAACTTTAATTATTTTATTTTAAATATTATTTTAATATATCCACTAACAACTAATCATACCACCTTTTTTTCAAAATTAACTATAGTTAAAAAAAATCAATTAAAATCTAGTTGAATTTATAAACAATCACCCCCTAACCGATTGGTTACATAACACCTTCTCCTTTCATGAATAGGGTTAGGTAGAACGAGTATGGCTTATCAAGGTTGAATTAGTAACGGTTTTTATATTTTTTTTTTTTTCCTTCACTGATTTGGAGATCCATAGATTATGGATATGTCTAAATTCGATTATCTTTAGGTAAAATAATGATCTTGAGCTATAATTGCTTGACAAATTTAAAAGGGACGAGAAAAAGGGAAACGTGTGAGCAACAAATTCAAGAAAACGAGGAAATATACTACTCCCTCCTATTTTTTTTAAATGTTATTTTGGCTTTGTCAACAATTTACTAAATAAATAGAAGGGAGTATATTTTATTGACCGTTATATTTTTTAACAAAAAATTTTATGTATATCATTAAGTATCATACTATGAGGTTTTCAAAGTATCATTTTAATTTAAAATAGATATAATTATTGAAAAAAGTGTTATTAATTATGTAGAGGTATACAAAGTTCGACCAAAGTAGAAAAAACGACCGAAATAAAATTTTCCGTTCGGTTTTTCTATATATTGGTTCAGTTATCAGTTTTTACTTTTGAAAATTCAATTAAATTTTTTTTGTTTTGGTTTTATTTTTAAATAATCGAAATAACCGAACCGACCAACCTGTATAAAAAATACTATATTTTTATATTTTATATATAATATTTATTTTCAGCAAAAAATTATATAAAGTATTAAATAAAAATATTAAATATATTTTTATATTATAAGTTATAATTTATTTTGGTTGACTGACCGACTAAACCGATTCTTTCGATTCGATTTTAGTTCGGTTTGGGACAAAAGTTCAACCGGTTTGATTTTTTTAAAAGTTCGTCTCGCTTATTTCGATTTTGACATTGCGGTTGGTAGGTTCAACCGAACCGACCAATGAACAGTCCTAATCAATCGTTATATATATTGTCTAACACTAATTTAACTATATTTATATATTTCTAGTGAAATATCATATTTAAATAAATATAAATATAAATATATATATATATATGTATATATATGTATATATATATACATATATATAACAAAACATGTGAAATTTCACATTATAACTATTTATTTTGTTCATAAAATATAACGGTCAACAATAAAACAATTGTGTTACTAAGTGCGAATAGTTATTTATAGGGGTGAGAAAAATTTTGAAAAAAAGAAAGAAATGAAAAATACAAGTAGTGACACCGAACAATTAAACACTATTAATTGCGTTGGAGAAATGGATTAATGCCTTTAAATTTATTTGAAGTGAATGGTATATAGCATCCCCTTATATATAATTTTCGAACGTGATGAGCCTAAGTGGTAGACTGGCATGCTTCGTAATCCTATTTGGCAAAATTATATATTTTATTATTGGGCTTGGATAAATTTTAATTTACTTCCAATCCAAAAATAACTAAGTTCAGATTATCCATAAATTTGATTATTTATAGTCATTTTAGATGTATCAATTTTATTTTAGTATCATTTCCTATTATAACTATTGAACTGTAAATGTATTTTAAAAGTTGATGACTTTTGTATTTTTTATCGGTTTTACATATATAACCTATCAAATTAATCATCTATTTATGAGATTCGATTTGACATCCATATTGTATGTATAAAATAAATAAATTATATTTAGTTTTATAATAATAATAAAATTATTTATTAATATTACTTAGAAAAATTAATTATTTATCAATTAATATATTTATGTTTAAAGTAGTTATATAGTATACGTTAAAAAAAAATATCATAATATAACACATGTAAGTCGCACAAGTAACAAGTGTCATTCTAAAATATAATACTATATATTTTTCGTAAAAAGTATTTAAATTTTAAAACACTTTTTCTCATTAATTTGAAAATTTAATAATAATTTTCTTAATAAACACCCATGTAATACACGGTCACCACTAATCTATACTTATATAAAAAGGCATCCTATTTACTAGAAATAGTAAGCAGAAAAGTCAAAGGTAATTAATGTTTGCTGGAAATAGAATGAAATTAATTACAGATTTGTTTTGGTATTATATGCTTGACATTAAAGATTTATTATGGGATAAAAATCAGAATCGATTTTTTTACCTTTGCTGGAAAAGTCAATGGTAAGTATAGATTTGTTTTATCCCATAAAACTTTCAATCGATCCATTTTTGATGGTATTTTCCCTTATGTTATTCAATCTTCTTTATGTATTTTGATTAATTAGAACTGGTGATTCCTCACTTTGAAAATACTTATAATTATTTATTTGACTAATTACTAACTTCATAAATATTTATAATTAAACATGATTAAGTATAAATAATAATAATATAGTATAAAATATAATTTAAAGCCTTTTTTTTAATTTAGCAAGAGACGAAAAATAAATTATAACCCTATTGTTTTCTAGACTTAACGCTCACTAAAAGAGAGGTGAAAAATAGATGATAATCTTATTACTTTTTAGACTTAAACGGATCGAGTCTGTAAAAATAACTCATTTAATATTTCTGTCTCGTGCATCGCACGAGTTATGTACTAGTTAAACTTTACTTGATTATGGTCCTTATGCATGCATGAAGATCTTTAAAATTCAATTACGTGCATCTTTTAATTAAATTTTGTAAACTGATATCTAATTGGTGCAATGGTGTGCCACGTGCACAACTTGTGAAAACAGCTAAAATTTTGTGTAATGAGCGTTTACCTATCTTTTTAAATATATGTCCATTGTTAAACACAATAGAATTAAGTCGTTTTTATGATCTCAAAAGAGTTAATTATCAATTGAGGACCAAAAGATATTCAATTATCAATTATGGTTATGAAAGATTAAATTTATCAATTAGAGACTCGTAATATTTATGATCTGAAAGATTAAATTTATCAATTAGAGACTCATAATATTTATGATCTTCAATTTAACTCAAACAAAGTCATACACGGATTTCAACAAAAAAAAAATTATCATCCTAGCGAGCTAGAAAGGAAAGAAACACGGGCAAACCACACACGGTTTACCGTCGACAACCTGACAAGGTCAACTAAATTACTGCAGAAACTTAAAATGACAGAATTCAATTTAAGACTTCAAACATGATTATTAAGAAAATAAATAAAACTATCTTCATATAAATGAAAAACTAAAGCGATATGAAAAACAATGCAAATACTTACATCATTTCAATTATTAATATTAAAGTTTATAAATAAGAGACATTCTGTTATAAATAAAAAAATAAAGTGGGATATTGTGCAAAGTCAATTTATGCCTTGTTCACGCACAAAAAAATAAAAAAAGATTGGAGCATAAATTAATAGTTTTAGATCTTTCGAACCCAAATTATTATAATTCACCTTTCAGACTTTAAATTGATATAGTTAACTGAATGGATTTGAATCAATAAAACTCCTATTATTATCCATATTACCAATATCCTATTATTATCCATATTACCAATATCGTTAAATAATATTAATCAATCATTATTACACGTCACTTTAACTTTAATTCACTATTTATCTACTTACATAATTTTAATTCTCCATCACTTTCAACCATTTATCTCATCTTTTATATCAAATTAATTTTAATTATTTTATTTTTAAATATTAGTTTAGTAGAAACTTAAAATTCCACTATGAATTAATCATACCAACTTTTTTCAAAATTAATCATGGTTAACTAAAAAGAACTATCAAATATTTGTACCAAAATTAAAAAAAAAATAATAGTAATAAAAAATAAATAAATATCAAATATCAGTATATTTGTAAACAAACAAGCCCTTAGTAAACCGAGTTAAAACCTACATGTCCAAAATTAGGCATATAAAAAAAAATATCTTACAAAAATAGATAACTCCAGCTCATGGAGCCTACCTCTTTTTAGAGCTCGAGTTGAATTCATTTATCAATATTAACAAGTCAAATTACAAAAAAATTATATAAAAATTTTATTTTCGAACCTTAACGAATCGAGCCAAACTCATTTAGTTAACCAAACAGCCTTTAACCGAGTTTGAGCTCACTCATTTGAGACAAAATCAAGCCGAACTGAGCTAACAAGTGCCTTATTTCGTTTCGTAACTTTGAAAATAGTACAGTAATACAAGAGTGCAGAATGCGATTTTTCACAAGCAATAATGTAGAAAGCGCTAATCTAAAGTTAACTTTCCACAATAAGCAAAAGGGGTTAGTTTTTTTTCCTTCCATTCCAATTACTAAAACTTCCCAAAGCTACACTTAATGCTTACCTACACAAACATTCTCCTTCATGAGTTAAACCACCAACACTTCAACACCAATACCTCACAAAAACACCCAATACACAAAAAACCACAAGATCAATCAAATTCCCACTCGAAAACCGAACGGTTTTTTTTTTCTGGAGACCCGTTTAGCGGGCCCACCAGAAAAAATCGTCCCGTTTACAGTCACCTCTCTCCTCCTTCAAGCTCCTCCTGATCCTCCTCCTCCTTGCCGCCGCCAGCCTCCGGCGGCAGCTCGTTGCTCTCACCACCCTGCCGGAAAAGAAGGCCGGCGGCAGTCTCCGGCGGATCTGACTCATCCTCGCTTACATCATCATCCTCCTCGACGGCCCGGCCCACTGCAGGCCCGGTATCAATCCATGAGGGGCACCTTTGCATGGTCCGCGTGATATTGTCTAGCGGGCTTGAAGCGTTGAGCAACCGCAGCAGCACTTTTCTTGGATGGGCCCGCGTGCTGGGGCCCGATAGGCCCAGAGTGGAGCATGAGCATTCAGGGATGGGGAAAGATAGAAAGGATAGTGGTTTCGATTTTTCCAGCTCGACTGTTGGGCCATCGAGTAAGTGTTTTCTGAGGTGCTTTCGAAGGGACTTTATCCATGTGTGGTTGGCTTGGTAAACGTGGTCTCGGTTTTCCTCTAGGTGTCTTGCTGCAGTTTTCCTGTTTCGAGTCGAAAATTGTGAAAAATCGTAATATGTATGATAAAAGCTTTCTTTTACATCTCTTCAGTAGAGCTGTCAAATATCAAAATGCACAATTTTTTACACAAATGATCAAGAAAGAAAGACCGGTTTTTTCGCGGCCCTATCTATGAAAACGCAGAAAAACATGAGATAAGTCTTTGCCCAGCAAAAAATATTGAGTCTTTTCAATATTAAAGAAAGTTCAGGGGTAATTTCTTGATTTTAGGAGGAAAAATTTTTAAAAAAAAATGTACCTATCTATAAAATGCCAACTGCTTACACAAATGATCAAGAAAGACCCATTTTTTTCCGGGCCTATAAAAATGCAGAAACATGATATGAATGAGTCTTTGCCCAGCAAAAACAATCGAGTCTTTCCAATATACAAAAAGTTCAGGGTTATTTTCTTGATNGTACCTATCTATAAAATGCCAATTTTTTACACAAATGATCAAGAAAGACCGATTTTTTTTCGGAGCCTAAGAAAACGCAGAGACATTATTGTTGCCCAGCAAAAAAGATCGAGTCTTTTCAATATAGAAAGAAAGTTCAGGGGTAAATTCTTGATTTTAGAAGCAAAAATTAAATAAAAAAAAATGTACCTATCTATATGGAATGTTTTGGAGGCAGCCGATCTATACATCCGATGGCCCGTGACCATGCTCGCGAAATTCGGGTTCCCTCGTCCGTCACGGTCAAAGCCCGGGACAAAAACATCGGCCTCAACACAAACCGTATAGTCAATGGCCTCCCAAAGCAATTTATGTGCATTTGTCCTCAGCTCCATAACCGTGCTAGCGGGCTCGTTATCACTCTCCGCAACCCAACCCCACCACCCCTCGATGTTGTAAGGGTACTTGGCCCGGCCCGGAGGAGGGGGTAAGGGCCTGGGCCGAGGCCCGATAGTTTTCCAAAAGTTTTGTTTATTCTTCTTGTCCTCTTTTCTCATAGGTGGTGGTGGGGTTTTGGGATGCTTGTCGATAAGATTGGCCTCACGACCGTACATTTTGGTCAACTCCCACGAGACGCTTAGAGATGTCCGGTCAACGACGTTTTCGAACATGGCGTGAAGAGGAATGAGTTTCTTTTGCCCACCGAAGACTTCGCCGCCCGACACGTAGATGATCGTGTCCCATGAGTAGCCGTACGCTCGGAGAATAATGCCTATCTGAAAAAAATAAATAAATAAATAAATAAATTGATTTTTATGAATTTAAGATTAGGGCTGTTATCGAACCGAACTATTCACGAACAAAGCTCGTTCATGTTCGATAACAACTCGTTCGTTTAGTAACCGAACCGAACTCGAACATAGCATATACATATATAAAATATAAATACGGATATATATTAAATATTAAATAAATAACATTTAGATATTAAAATTTTAAAAAAAAAATCAACAAACACGATCACGAACTTGTCGAGCAATTCAAACACAAACTTGTCAAACAATTTAAACAGGTCACAAACATGTTCGACTATATAAACGAACAAACACGAACGAAATTTTTTGTTCGATTAGTATACGAACAACACGAACATATTCGAAAATTAGTCGAACTCGAGCTCGAAAACCTTAAGCTCGGTTCGGTTCGATAACAACCCTACTTAAGATGCTATAGGATTTTACGAGGCCATTGCACTAAGTACAATTAATCCAAGGAAAAAAAAAAGGAAAGAGAAAAACAGGTGAGAAATGAGAATGTCACTTACTTCCTCCGGCATAAGTGGACATAAACCGTTTAAACGTTGCTCAGCCGAATCCACCGAAAGGTTCCCTTTCACAATCCCACGTTTTATCATCCATGCCCGTTTATGTTGGATTAGCTCAGTATGTACAT